TAGCCAAACTTACTGACCCTTCGAGCCGCACACAACAATCTTCAGAAGTTCAAGAGCTGGAGCAAGAGGCACCTGCTGGGGCTCAGGGCTTCAGCCCCACTCCTGCTGAAACCCTGAGACCCACCTCCCTGCTGGGCAGAAGCCCCCACCCCACCACCCTGCTCCAAGGCAGAGGTCCCACGCTGCCCCCCCCCCCCAAGTCTGGTAGGGGGACTCCGTGAGCTGCACTTTCACTGTAAAAGAGCCACATGCGGCTTGTGAGCCACAGTTTGGCCACCCCGGCCATAGTCTCTTCTAAGTCTGTTAGAGTTTGTTGCATCAACATAACACGCTAACACTGATCTTGTTCTGTGCTAGGGAAATCGTGTGGTGTTCCAAAAGGACCAGAGCATGGCAGAGCTGTTGATACAACAAATGACCGGTTTGGTGCAAGAGTAAACATCATTTGTGATGACGGGTGAGTGTTGGGCAACCGGTGCTGATTAAGTCACAGAGCTTAGTTTGGTGAACAGTGGAAAAATAATAATAGAAATTTCGATCTAATTTAAAAGATTAAGTTGGGAGAAAGCTGGTGCAGCTATGGTATCATGGGGTGCGCTTCAATTTCATCAAGCTGCTGTTGGAAAAAACTACCATAATATGTGATTGGGTTCTGGTTTCATTGGCTTGTGTAGGTACTTTCGGGACATCAGTCATTGAACAGGGAAGCACATGGCATGAACATGGATGTCTTTGTTTTAATTCATATATCATTTTGTTTTTCACTGTGTCACCCATTTAGGTTGTATGTGCAGGCAACAAGGGTTAAATTCCCTGTGCTGGGATCAGGATGATTGGGAGCCATGCCCACACCTTGAATACTGCATGCAGATGTGGTCGCCCCATCTCTAAAAAAATATATTAGAATTGGAAAAGGTTCAGAAAAGGGCAACAAAAAATGATTAGGGGTATAGAACGGCTTCCATATGAGGAGTATTTTTTCATGCAACACACTGTCAACCTCTGGAACTCCTTGCCAGAGGGTGTTGTGAAGGCCAATACTATAACGGAGTTCAAAAGGGAGCTAGATAGATTCATGGAAGATGGGTCCATCAATGGCTATTAGTGAGGATGGGCAGGGATGGTGTCCCTAGCCTCTGTTTGCCAGAAGCTGGGATTGGGTGACAGAGCATGGATCACTTGATGATAACCTGTCTGTTCATTCCCTTTGGAGAACCTGCCATTGGTCTCTGTCAGAGGACAGGATCCTGGGCTCAGTGGACCTTTGGTCTGCCCAGTATGGCCATTCTTACGTTCTTCTCAGGTGATGTAATAAAAACTAGCTGTTATCAGATATCAAATCACTTTACAAAGGAGGGCAGTATTGTTTACCCCATTTTACAGATGGGGAAACTGAAGCACAGAGGGGAAATGACTTCCCAAGGTCACCCACAGGCCAGAGGCAGAAATGAGAATGGAATCCAAGTTTCCTGAGTCCCAGTCCAGTGGTTTTTCCTCTAGGCAATACTGCAGCTGAGTTGCACCCACAAGAATGTCCAAGCTGTTGTTTCAGAGACGTAGGTGTGTTAGCTTGTATCAGAAAAAACAACAAAGTCCGTGTAGCACCTTAGAGACTAACACATTTATTTCGGCATAAGCTTTCGTAGGCTAATGATGATGATGAAGTGGGTTTTAGCCCATGAAAGCTTATGCTGAAATAAATGTTAGTCTCTAAGGTGCCACAAGGACTCCTTGTTGTCCAAGCTGTTGTTGTGATACTTAACATTATCCTATGCAGAAATGTACAGAAGCTGCACACCTTGGAATTGTGTCCACCAACAAAAGCTCTGGGTTTAAATGGGCTGATTAGGTTTGGACATTGAGATGTTCAGGTTTTGAAAGAGTGGCAGCAGTGGGACAGCCCTTGCGCAGCTGTCTTCTCTCCCGGTTGTTGCTGTCAGCACAAGTGGCCTTTGGGTGTAATGTTCTAAGTTGGAAGAAAAGCGGTAGCCACCTGGCCACACAGGATGTTCATGTCTATCCTTGGTGGCCCCTGCCGTTTCAGCAGACCAGTGAAAGAACCTGCAGAGACCAGCTTTACTAGGTGCACCTCTCATCTGTTTCTCTAAACCTCTTTGCCCAATAAATAAGGCCACGACCTTTAGCCTGTAGTGTGAAAGGACGTAGCGAAGGCTAAGTGACTGCATTGCCACTATGCAGAACTTCCTGTGCAAGAATTAGCTAGAGGTCCAGCTAAGTGGGTCTTGGGTGTGGACTGTTGCCAACTCTTTGGTAGAAGAGCAGACTTAAAATAGGAAGAGGAATGATGGCACTAAGCAGGCTGAGCTACTGACTTCCAGAGTGACAGAGACACCCCTTTTAGTATTTTGCTCCCCATTTATCTGGGCCAATAATCAAAGGTGTAGAATGCCAAGAGCACACATCCCAAGCACCGTTCTGCAGATTGGAATGAGGAAGATGTGGCGCAGTCTCCATTCTGCAAAGCCAAATGTCTTTCACATGCGAACACTCGGAGAAGATTAACAGTCTGGAAAATTACTAATTTCCTTAGTATTTTTCAAATAATGGAACTTCTTTAGGGACTTCTTCCACCTTCTGCGGATGTAAGAAATAAGCATTAAAAATGTGGATAAGAGAGACTTACTTGTTTCCCTTTGCTAAGGTTCAACAAAGATATTGCCCAGAAATTCCCAAGCATCTAGCTAGTATAGATTTTAAGGGGAAGGATTTCACCTGCTAACATGGTCTCTGCAATCTTATACCCACCTATTTGCTTGTTCTACATTGGCTTTAACCACTCAGCATTCCTTGGTCCTAGGATTCATGTTGGTACTTACAGCAGGAATGACCCTACAGGGTCACTTACTGGCAGAAAGAACCCCTTTTCCAAAGTTCTGGACTATTGCAGGAGCAACTGGAGAGTTAAGTAAGAAACTTTTTCTCTTTTCTTTAGGTTCAGATTACGTGGGCGGCCTTTCATCCAATGTATGCTGAAGGGAGATCAAGTTGAATGGAGTCAACTTCCAACTTGTGAAGGTCAGGGTATTTTTATGGCTTTAAGAAGAACTCCTGATTGGAGCAGTTGCAGAGTAACTGTTACAAACCTTTCATGTGTGTTTTATATTCACTCAATTTAGATTGTCAATCATATAGATATTTTTGAATTATATATGCATGAATAGCCTTATTGTACATGCTGCGTAACCAAGTATTTAGATTTGGCAAATTCTTTCATTTAGGCTAAGTGGGTGAGACTTAGATCTGCCATATTAGAGATCTCTTCCTAGCTTGTGTAATTTACATTCAGGAAGGATGGGTTGTTCAGTGATAACTTGGTGTGGCGGTCCACGTCCCCAAGGGTATGAGCGGTGTGGACTATCCGCCACCGTCCATAAAATAGCCCTTTAGCTCAGGGCAGTGTGGCCTAGTGGCCAGAGTCCAAGGTGTCCCCTTTAATGCAGGGAAACGTGGCCTAATGGCTGGAGTCTATAATACGGCCCTTGGCTACAGGGCAGTGGGGCCTACCAGCTAGAGTCCATAAAGCCTCCCTTGGTGGAGGGTAGCGTGGCCTAGCGGCCAGAGTCTTTATCATTGGGATGTGACAGCCCCGGTAGCAACACGCTGAGTTTCCCCGGGGCGGAGGGAGGGGGAAGGTACCACTCTGTCACCCTCCCAGGGTCACTTCTGTTGGGGTCTCCCAGGAGTCATCGGGTCCTTGGTACTCTGCGGATCTGGTCGTCTCCCGGGTCTCCTCCAATCGCCAGGGTGCAGGCGGGCCGTGGACGGCGTCCCTTCCCGGTGCAGTCAGCGGCTGTGGCTGGCCCTCCGCAGGAGCTCCCCCAGCAGGTCCTTCTCCTACAGATTACAGCCCAGAATGAGCTGGTCTCCCTCCCTTTATACTCCTGTAGCACCTGGAGCATGCCCAGTCTTCCCAGGGAAGCAGGACTTCCGCTGCCAGTCCCTGGGGCTTAACTCTGTCCGGGTTAAGGCGGGGTGGTCTGACCCCGCCACACTTGGGTTTTGAAGGGCACAGGATTGTTAACACCAGTCAGTAGAAATAAGGAAAGTTGAACTCATCATCTCCTGATTCCCAACACGGTGCACCTTCTCCTAGGCCAAAGGATATGTTGATGTGAGGGATGGAGATGCACAGTTCTGAGTTGCACATGGCAACACCTTGCAGT